AATTTCGAGATGTCTTGTCATTTTTACTAACAACCCATACACACAGGTTGCTGTTATTTATTGAGAGTCAAAGGGTTCCATTTCCTCAATCTGTCCCTAATTCAAGAATAATAGTTCAGTTAGATTTTCGTTTGATTGGCACGCGCTGCAAATTAATGAATGATTTCAGGAATTTTGCAATTAATAACTGCGAAGGAATGTAAGAAATAGAGTCTGCATTTTTCATGAACAATTAGGATAATTTGTGAAGCTAAAGGAATAGCTGGACCAAAATAAAAGCACTCATAAATGAAATCGACCGTCAGAAAAAGCGGAGTATTATTTTTAGGAGAAGCCATGAAAAAGTGATGAACTCCCAATTGAAGGCTAACTCATATTTGATAGTTACATTTAAACAGTCATCAAATTCGGTTAAGCCCTAATTGCGATTTAAATGATGAAAACTGTGAGCACGCGTGGTCTGCGGTGGTTACCGTACAACACTGTTGCAGTGTTGGGTTTTATGAGCCATAAATTTACGTCAGTTCAGAAAACTCCCCAATTTATGACTTTTCAGCTGAGGAAATTATCAAATTATGAAATTTCCAGCTTATTAGGCGGGCTCTAATTGTGTTTATACAAGTGAGCAAGTCATTTTACGTGTTGTCGACATATTTTTACAACGCTAAAGCCTGCGGGAATTTGTGAATGTAAGCGCTTTCACCCCATCTGATAAAATGCTACCGTCGTTATAACGAAGCACCGGCGGTTCTGAAGACAACGCATGATTTAAATTATATAAAAGTAATGCCAGCATTTCATGTCCATTTTATCCACCCGTTATTCAACGTAATTACATTCACGACGAGAGATATGTTTTATATTTTTTCGTTGGCTTCAAGCCAAACGTAATTAGTGGGAACATAATAGAAGTATTTTCGGATTTCGTTATACAAATTAGTTTGAAAAAGCTCAACTTGTACAGTTATGCAAATATTACATACGAAAATGGAGAAACTCACACAAACATCGGAAATTAAAAAGTCGTCGCGAGATATTTAGCCAAAGGTAAAAGCCAAATAACACAGACTAGGGAAATATTTTGGCTGTTAAATATTTTTTGCAGTCATTGGTGATGTGGCAAACGATATATTCATGTTTATTACCTTGTCTAACTGTCGACTAAACGAACACCATTTTTGTTTAAAAAAACAGTACCCGTTAAACGCTAAATCCCTATCTATAAATTATAAGAATAACTTATTCTCCTTATTCAACGTTTAGACTTTCTAAATCACAACAAGAAGTAACCGGCTTCATTACCATGCTCAGAGTTTTGAAAAATGTACAAATAATTCGACATACTTGGCATTACCTCAACATTGGAGATAAATAAATGGAAAATTGAAATTTATTTAAGAATCAGCATTAGAGTTAATTCCATGGATAACGGAAAATATTTTGACATGTTTGATTCAACTGTTTCCACGTATTAGAATAATGGTTAGCAGACCACACGATCGAACAATATTCTAATCGAAACTTAACTAACGTGAAGTACAAAGCCTTTAGAAATTCAGTCGAGTTAAGTTCAGATGATTAGATCTAGAGTCTTCACAGCACAATATGTAGATTAAATGCAAGCCCGGAATTAAATGTTACCCCAAAATCTTTAACTAGAGAGCAACCACTTACCGTTACTAGAATTCTAAGTAAGGCGGCATGTTTTGTGATAAATGTTCAAACTTTTAATTGGACACTTGTAGTTTTAGGTAATCAGTTAAGGAGTTAGTTTAGCAGACAAACTTGAATCCATGTCCAAATGACGAATTCGAAAATTACACAAATGAATAACTAGAACAATATTTATCAGAAGGAGGAGCAATAAAGATCCCAAGAGAAATATTAACTTCGTCCGCAACTATCAGTTTTATCCAAACAATGTAATCAATTAAAGAAATAGATATCAGCAATTTCAACATTCTTGTTGGTGTCCAATACGATGACTGTTTAATAAGATTCAATAATTGAAATTACGGCGATTCCCTTCATATTTACCTCATGGAACATTAAATACATCTGTACGGACAAATGTCTTGCGAACCATCAATATTTAGTACTAAAATTAAAAATGTCAACAATCACTCAATCTTGACAACTGACAGCCGGAAACTATACAAAACATCATGATACCAATTTCAACTAAAAGTCCACAATTGTCAACAGACTCAGTTATTTCTGATCACACGGTATATGAAATTCTTAAAAACTTTTTTCTCTTTAATGAATTAAAAATTAACTAATTTGTCTAACACAAGTTGTTAAAAGTACATGACAACATTACAATCATGACCCATTTTAATTAATTTTTTTAACCATTATGTACGAAGGCTTAACCCGGCGCCTCCACCATTTATTACAACTAACATTTTAACTTATTAAATTACTGATACAAAGTCGCCGTTAAAACACGATACATACTCGTATCCCAATCTTCTCAAACGAATTCTAATTCTACTCCAATGGAGAATGCTACCTTTATGAAAATGTAGACAAAACAAGGTTTTATTATGTGTACACAGACAAAGAATACTTATCCTTAAAAACAATTTCGAACAAAAACTCTTAAAACTTGTTCATCCACAAAAGAATGTTACTTTGTGTTGTTGAGAAAAAGAAACACGAATTTACTCCGTCCTAGAACTGTTAAATGGACAAATGGGGTTCTTATCGAGGTCTGAAGGACTAATACTGGTCTTTCTGCGTTCAAAGTACATCGACTATGCGAAGTGATCCCCGTTAACAAACAGCAGCTTGAGAGAGTGTTATTCTTTATTATAATTCACTTGGGCGTGAAGAATCAACTCGAGTTGGAAACACGAAAATTGTAAGCTTTATTGCTAGGTTTATTCTCCGATGGGAAATAGCTGTTCTTATTGCTCGACGTTGTGCTATTGTTACCGCTGGCAAGTGGGTAATAAACATAATAAATTATAGAAAATCCTGATTTATGATGTTCCAACTTCATTCCGTCGGATACGTTGCTGAAAAGTTTTAAGTGCCTCGGTTAAGAACGTGGGAGAAGAATTAACACTTAATTGGTTTTGTTATAAGAAGAAGAATAAAAACTAAGCTAACTGTTTGAATTTAATTTGTAAATTCCCGTACTGACGAGAATTAATTAATCAACAAAAGAATTAATTTAATAAGGGATCCAGTTTGAAAATTAATAACTCTTCCAATTAAGGGGGCAGATGTGAAACGTAAGCAATTAATTAAATTTCTTATGTTGTTAATTGCTTTGTTTAAAATTTGACGGGTAACAGATTGGCAAAATAAACCTTACAAGCGTAAAAAGTAGTTTCAAAGATAAAGGAGCACACCAAAAAAATTGTATTTTTGTTGGTTAATATTTAACGTTAAAATAAATGTATACGTCAGAAACAGTTGCGGAACTTTATCTAACATGCAGTTTATTTCTTATTTTGTGGAAATCTGCTTGCCAAGAACTGGATAGAAAATCTGCTTTAAATTGCAATATGACGGCGCAATATTTCTCGCTTATTAATGTCGATTATCGTTAGCACTTCTTTTGCTCTAGATATTTGAAACTCTTTTCAAAAACTTTCAACTTGCACAAAGGGGCTGCTATAATACATTGGAGTTATATTACGAAAGCTGTAAATTCCTGGATGCACAAAAAAATTTAATATCACGTTTGTACACAACCAAGCCGTAATGATAAAACGAACACAAAAATTTTGTAATTAAGTTTGATTTTTTATGATTCGTTATTTATATTCGAAACACGTTGTACGAAACACTCTTGTTGGCTCTTTTATTATTCCGTGCAAACACATGATTCGTGCGAAGCTGTTATTCGTCTTCGTATGTATGGTAGGTGTTTATAATTTTTGTCGGTTTCTCTATATCTATAATATTCGAAAACTTAATAATGTAAGTATATTTTATTCTTTGTGTTAAAACCGACATACGAAAATGCTGCAAACTGAATTATAAAATCAAATTTACATAATAAATTATGACCCTGTAAAATTTTTGTACGGTACTTATCCTGATAAAGTAAAAATTAGAAGACGTGGGACTGTCAAAATGATACGCTCTAATACATATACAAATAAAGAATTAATTGTTTATTAATTTTTCTCAAAGCAGGATAAGTTCGAAAACAGTACCCTGTATATTCGGATAGGTCAGGCAATTCTAGAGATACCATGATATTCTTAAGAAAAAGTATTGATTCCAACAGGTTGTTTAATGCGTGGGCTGCTGTTTCTGTACGAAGTGAAAAATCTCCTATGATCAGTTTAAAGGAGACGCAGATCAGTATATTTCCACACAATTTCCACTAAATTCTTTCCCTCGGACTTTGCGCAGACAATTAAAATTTGTCTTAAAGGAATTTTTTAAGATTTAAAATAAGCTCGTAAGAAAAAATGATAAACATGTGTAAAATGCGTTTATGGCACTTACTACAGAACTCGCAACGCTCGTGCTGCAAGCTTCCATACGCTTACTTACCTTTTTCACACTTCGTAAAGAGCTACTTATTACCTTTTCTCCAATAAACCAGAATTTGCAATATTCCTTGAGAATTTCTTGTACGCCACATTTAATAATGACAAAAATATGACCGTTACATCAATCAAAAACATCAAACTGTTCCTTAATTCTATGCAAACAAGTTGCGTAATCGATTTAATGCATATTTAATGATTACACCGAAAGTCCGTACAAAACTTTCAGCGACAACGCCTATAACGGTTTTCATGCTCATCAGAGACACTCTTTATAACTTTTATATTTACTACCCATATTGGTTTCTCTATTTTAGGGATCTAATTCCCATTGTCCCCGCTCATCGTTCAACGAAATTCCCACTTGGCCAGCCAACACAAAAATATTATATCTAGAATGTGATAATCGTTTGTAGAAAAAATCTCAGATTTTTCTCATTTTGGTCTCTTCGATTTTACATTGTCCGTTTCTTTGTGTTGCAGAAACCGATTACCGAGCGACGTCAGCCATTGTAGCCATTATGCCTATTTGGAGGACTTATACGACATCATTTCCTCCGAAGATGGTGAGTTTTTATCGAATCCGCATCACAGTCAAGTCAAAAGTTAAACTAATATTGTGTTCACGATGGCCTCTTTGATGTCGAAGTTACTAATTAAGTTTAAAAGTCAAGCTACACACACAGAATAATTGATGGGGCAAGCAGTACGCAAGGCTTCAAAGTTCTTTTGTTGCCGAACGCAGGCAATTTGCATGTTAAAAATGGAATGCTGCACATTTTCCCGCTCATTTACCAAGAATATAATCATTTCAACATAATTCGAGAGTTCTCATAACAATTTATTATGAAATGTTTATTCGCTTTCCACACGAAAATCCTTTTAGAGAACTTCAAAATAGAACCGGTTTAAATTCATCATTTCAGCAGGGTTTAACGTTTAATCAAGATAGTTGTGTTTAATTTATAAATTTCTTCACGTAACACTGTCGTTAGACAAATTTATACTATCCATTCTAGAAACTTTAACATAGTCATATTGGAAAACACTACAGACATTACTGCTTTTGTATCATGTGAACATCGAAAACTGAGTTTCTAAACAACAGATCTGCTGCAAGCTATTCTATAATAACGGACACATATATTATAGAAAATTATTAAACTAAAGTAATTATCCATTTTCCTGTATCTAGTTACGTCTTCATATGATTTTGTTCTGTTGTAACCCACACATTCATATTTCCAGAAATACAGTAAAGTAATAGTTTGCTTAACAGTATACAACTTCTTCAGTTCAAATACAGTTTTTTTTTGTGTCAAGAAGATGTAAAAACGTCGTTATTTTAATATTATACGCATACATAGTCTACTTCCAAAGTTATAAGTAATATGGAGCACCATTTCCTTTTTCGATGTTGTCAAACTACATCACTAAAAAATAAATTCTATTTGTAATAATGTTTTAATAATAATTCATCTTTATAAATATGTTCCAAATAATGTATCCAACTTAAAGTTTCTGTAATGAAAGATTCTTAATTCCAAAAAACTTATATTTAGATCTATGTTCGTTATATTTTGAGAATTCTTCAGAGCATTTTATGACTCTTTCATCCGTGAAAGTACACAGATTATCATCAGTTGTAAATGGCTCGGCGCTCCATTTCATTCTAAACATAAGCTCAGTTTAACTCAATTTTAAAAACTAGATGCAAACAAGTCGCTTAAAATATTCTGTTTTTGGTTATGTAACGACTTTTAGCAAAGTATACATCAAAATAAATTATTTCACCGTTAAAAATAACAACATGTTTTTAATTGAACGAAATTTTTTTAGTGTTTTAAAAATAAATACACCAGTGTTTCATATTTTGTCCGACAATATTTTATGAAAGATGGGGCCCTCGGAGAGCAGTATAAAATGGATTTTTATTGTACATGTCTTTTTCCATATCGCTTCATGTTATTTTTGTAACCACTAGAGTCTTTTTTATGAGATTTGGTGCAAGAGGTTGCTAGACAAACACGTTTTATCGTGTTGCCGAATAGCCCCTATGCTTGTTAAACTATGATAGTTTTCCTACTCTCGTTTTGGTTATCTAAACAAACTTTTGCTCGTAATATTATGAATGACATCATTCATAACTACGCCAATTCTAAACAAAGAAGTGTTATAATAAATTTGCGTGTAATGTGTAATATCAGGATTTAAAAAAACTAAATCGTTCAATCCAGGTCCAGTTACGCAAAATTCTCATGTTCCCGAGAGCAAACAAAAATCGAATTACAGCAGTGAAGTTTTTAGAGATCTTGCACTTCTTGAGAATGAACAAAAGATCAATCGAACAAAAAGAAACCATCGTTTGCCTGTTTCCTAGTGATTTGCATATTTTATATAAATGCAGAGACGTGACGTCCTTCGACAATTTATTTTTCAACACACTGAAGTGTGTTTTCGGATCGCTTGTATAAGTTTAATTAAATACTCCACAAGATTTAAAACAATAACTAGTCTTTGCAAAAGTTATTGAACTTACCAAAAAATAACTAACGCCAAAAAGAGTGTAATTACGAAAATCAGTTTAATCTTCAAAAATATTGATGAAATAATATCGAGTTTCAAATTCTTTATTTGTCCTGAAAGCAGTAAATATTGTGTTCGTCAAAGCCACAACTCATATACTTTTTTCAGCTGTACCCACACATATAACACCACATGATCGAGAAAAAAGTCGTCTGGCAACCTTTGAAATTTAATATTAAAAAAAAAGCGTGTTGGCAACACCAACATGTCGCTTGTTCGTGATTAGTTTGACATTTGCGGTGAAATAACTGCAATACTATCATTATTATTTTAAAAATAAAATTTATGGGTTACTAAAAATGTTTTTTTCGATTATATAGTATTTGATATTCGTATTCACTCATAGTGTTAGATATAATAGCTTCAAAATATCATTTACATTTCTGCTAGTCAAAGTTTCAGTGTGTTCTTTAATATAAAAGTAGATTGCTTCGAGATCTGCGGTTCCTATCCATCGTTAAAATAAAGTTTCATTTGAAAATGTCTAAGTCGAAAAATATGCGAACTATGCATGTTGTTACACTACTTATTCCGTCTACTTTGCACACACAATTTGGAACTCGTGGAGCTAACAGCTCCACTTGTATATAATGTCATTTGAAATTTGTAAGTGTTGACGTTCCACTTTAGATAATTTTGCCCACAATGTTTCATCAACAGGTAACAAAATTAAGCTAATTTTAACAATGAACAAATAACTACAGGAAAATTTTAGTTGAAGCATTTTTTTACACTCTTTTGTTGATAAATTTTACGCACCCACCAGGATGCGAGAGTCATGGGGAACTTTAAAGTGTCAACACTGTGATGGTTTTGCATCGCTGTCAGTTCAGCTTTTATTAACACGCTTATACATATTAGCTTCACTTGTATGTAACAAGCTATGTAAACAAATCTAGGAAATCGATTTTAACCTACTTGTAATTATCGTATCGAGTTGAAACTTTGCAAGGGTATGTAATTTGGATGACAATGCAATAATTTGATACTATCGAACAGGTAGGTCCTTTCAACCCTCTAAATTTTGCCATTTGTGACAAAGTTTGACTGCAATCGTACTCTTGACAGCAATAGCAAAAGTCGTGTGTGACATTTACTCTTAAAAGCATGCTCTTTAGTTATTTTAAGCTATAATTATTTTTAAAAATTTAAGTATTAGTTGCAAAAAATTTTGTACATAACATGTTTGTGAAGCCTGCTTCCAAGTATTCATGCGGGAAGCAGGCTTCCCAACTAGTTGTGTAAATTACTGTTTTCATTTTCTCTGGCATAGTTTCAGTTCCTATGAAAATGTTAATGATATAGAATGTGGATGATGTTGGAAGTTAAAGAAATAATTGTTTTGAAATAATAATTTTATCATCAGTTGAGATACCGCACCAAATTTATGAGACTATTATTATATGCAATAATATAAAGTAGCATATTTTTTCCACAAGACTGAAATAAAATTATCTTGTTCTTTGTCTGATACTGACAACTGAGAATGCTGTTATTACTTACATTTAACTGTTTCATAGAATGACAAATCAATATAGAAATTAATCCATGTGCTTAAAATATTTACATAAACTGTAAATAAACTGATTGTAAATACAAATACACTTCTGGATTCTGGATTCCAGATATGGGAGCTTCCCGTAGCCACCTCGCACTTAGACCTCACTTTTGGGCCCATTGTGTCTTCCCCAGTCCATATCAGAGTGTTTTCCCACTCCTCTACTCGTCAAGTTAGCTAACTTGTTGAATGTACTTGAGTAATGCAAAGGGTGGGAACTCCCTGACTTTTACCATACTAGACCAGATGTCCCCTAGTATAGACTTCTTGTGGGAGACTAGCGTTTGTTGCAATCCCAAACCACGCAGTTGTCCAAGGCTAGTAGTGCCTACTTGCTGTCAGTCCGATGTCAAATGCTGCAACTATTCTTACTCAGACACACGGAATTATCATTTAATGATATTCTATATGACTATCTTCTTCACGTACCATGTCCTTTCAGAACGTTGGTCACCATCACAGCGATTTTGATCTTGTTGACAGCTATTCTGAAGAGTGTGTTCGTATCTACACCGTATCAGTCCCTCAAATTCTTCAACCATGATGTTTTTCGCCTGCCTGGACCTCGTTTGCCTGCTATTTTGCCTTGCATGATGTTTTGTAGCAATCTGTACTTTTCTCCTCTCATAACGTGCCCGAGGTATTGGAGCTTTCTCCTTTTGACTGTGCATACAATTTCGGTGCTCTTACTCAGGCGCTCCAGAACTTCCACATTGCGGACCCTGTCCACCCAAGAGATCTTCAATATTCTTCTGTAGCACCACATCTCAAACGCCTCGAGCCGCATTATGTCGCTGTTGTTCAGAGTCCAGCTCAGGCCTCGACACCGTATAGCAGTACAGAAAACACACAGCATCGCAGCAACTGGATTCTTAAGGATATTCTAAGATCTCTACTGCATAGAACTCTATTTAATTTCTTGAAGGCAGAGCGGGCCTGCTCTATTCGACAGCTAATTTCGGAGTGACTGTCTGCATTGTTATTTATTTGGCACCCCAGATAACGGATATTATTAACTTGTTTTAATTTTATGTTTCCAACTCTAATATTTGCTCTAAGATTTGTTTGCTTGCTTATGATCATTACATGAGTTTTTATGATATTTAAATCAAGTCCAGCTTCCTCACATTTTGCTACTACGTAGTCTAGCAGACTTTGAAGATCTTCTCTGCTGGAGGCTATAAGTACTGTATCATCCGCATAGCGTATGTTGTTTATTACTTCTCCATTTACCACGATGCCTTCTTGTTTGTCCGAGAGTGCTTTTCTAAATATCATTTCAGAGTAGATATTAAACAGAACTGGCGATAGCATGCATCCTTGTCTGACACCGCGTTTGATATTCAGTGCTGTTGTTTCTGTGCCATCTATACGTACTACCGCTGCCTGCTTCCAGTATAGATTCTCAATGATTCGAATATC